GCGTCACGAGACCGCTCGTGACAACGAGGAACGGTGCGCGCTAACAAAGGAACACCGAAACAAGAGAAAGAAAAACCGGCGCGTTCGCTCGCGCGTGTCCGCTGCCCAACGACCAGGCGGACGGAGTCGCGATAGTTTTCCGAGTGAACGGTCTACCGACAAGCTGTCAACCTGGATTTAAGGACGACGAATCTGGACGTTTACGTCGGCGACCCTGATCGGTTGTTCGACGTTCGCAAGTCGCGCGGCAGCAGGGATCGCAAAGCCACCAAAATAGATCCGAAAGCGTGCGACGAGGGCATCGTCGTGACGACGGAGGACGCCGGGTACGAGGACCGGTTGCGAGACGCGAAGGATAGTCGTCTCGCCGGAATGAGGGGCGAGTCGGCGCGACCAGGTAAGCGACCCTTAAGGGCGCTCTCCGCATCCGAGAAGATGGACGCGATACAAAGGGTTCACGAAGGCGAGAGCAAAGCGTCGGTGGCGAGAGACATCGGCGTGCCGGAGTCGACGTTGCGAGGATGGTGCAAGTCCGAGCACAAGATTCGAGGAATGGCGAGGAACTCGTCGACGCCGGACAGCGAGGCCCACTCTCCGGCATCGTCGTCGGGAGCGAACGTCACCGCGGGCAACCTCGCGGGTGGATCGGCGAACCTATCCAGCGAGGACGAGGGTCCCTGTTCGAAGAAACCCAAGATGGACCAGCAGACGTCGGTGACGAGCGCGGGTACGTCGTACGTGGACGTGTGCACCGACGCCGATCTCAAGCCGGACAACAAACCGAAAATCGACTACGTGGGACTGATGACCAGCATGGCGGGCATGAGACCCGAGAACAGTTCGCTGTTGCTGCAACAGCTGGGCCTGCTGACGGGCGCGACCGGTACGCTCGCCAAGAATCTGTTGAGCATGTCACCGGCGCTGTCGCACGGCAGCACCGTCGGTCTCGTCGAGAACGGACTCCAGTACACGAAGAACAGCGCGAACCCGTGTCTCGCGAACGTCAACAGCTTGAACGGCGGCAGCAAGAGGCACAGCATCTCGGCGATCGCGCCCGCACAGATGGACTCGGTGGTGGCCAAGTCGTGCACGAGGAAGAGTCTGCCACCTGCCGCGGAGGCACCCTCGACGCCGGTACCCGCCTCGCCGAGAAAGACCAACGAGAACAACGGGATGCAGCGGTCGTCGAGCGGCAAGCCGAAAAAGGACGGGAACGTGAGCGGTAACAAGAAGGTCGACGAGGCGTTGTGGCTGTGGCTGACGCAGCAGCAACAGCTGCTCGGTCAACAGTCGGCCAGTTTCAACCCGAGCATCAATCAGCAGGACGGCTCGTGGTTCTGGCAGTGGTACAAACAGTGCAGCTTCCCGTTGATAACGCCGACGCCGCTAGCGCCCAGCCCGGTCGCCAAGAAGTCGCCCAGCAAAGCCAGAGCCATGCTCGATAACGTGCTTTGCAACAACAACAACGAGAACGTGAAACGAAGCCTGAACATGGACGAGGAGTCCAGGGAGGACGTCGACTCGGCCGGGGACGTGCCGGCCAGCACCGAGGAGGCGATCGAACACGGCGAGAAGTTCTTCAAGTGGTTGGACAAATGCTCCGAGCCCGCCGTCACGAGGCTCCAGATCATACAGTTCAAATATCTGTTGGACAATCTGAAGGCGTGCAGGAAGAAGTCGTCGTCTAGCTCGAAACAAAGCAGAAAGTAGGCGACGGACAAGCTGTGATGCTAAATATATAGCTGTAAGAAAGAGTGCGTTTGAGCGTGGAGCACGCCGGGTGATCAGCAGCTGGTAGAACGTAGGTAGAATCGGTAAGAGAAATAGGCGATGAAATAGGAAACGGAGAAAAGATTTATCGCGATTCAACCGGGGTAGTCAGTCGTTCGTGATCTCCTTTTTCTTTCGATTTCTTTTTTTTACGTGCCGTCGATTACCGTTCGCGTTGACGTAACTAGATACGGCCCAGGGTGGACCCCTTCTCTGTTCAAAATTATCGCGATAACTTCGTAGTTGGGGCATTTGGAAATTTAACAGTCTAAGATGCTTGAAAATTTTTGTCGACTCGGGAAATTTGAAAATTTGATTACTCGAAAAATCTTGCATCGCTGTTTTCTCTCGAAAAGATTACCGTGCTCGGTAATACTGTACGCTTTCTGCCTCTACGTCACAATTTCTCCTAACGCAGTCTAGCCTGTCGTGCTCTCTATCGTTCCGTAGGCCCATCCTAAATAAAAATGCTAGTTACGCCAATGACGATTCGTCATCTCGTCCCCGTGATTCGCGCGTGTACGCGCTCGACGGAGCAGAGCGAGTACGAACCGGACGATCGTAGTCGTCGTACTCTTCCGAACTCCTGACGTTCCGTGATTTAAAAGAGAACGATGCGCGATCGTGCTTCTCCGTCGCTCTTCGTGTTTTTTCGTTTCTGAGTTACCTTACGAGCCGGGCCGAATCAAAACGGGTCGTAACGATCTTGTCTTTATCGAAACCTTGTACATAAGAGGATATACCAAATTCGTAAATGGACTGTTGTAATTATAATAAAAGTTAAGATGTTCGTAGAGAGTTATTATTATCGGATCATTATCATTCGTTAGCGTAAATGCGTGAGAGTGTGAGAACGCGTGCGCGAACGATCGAATTAACGGACGAAGATTCTCGACCGAAGATACATGCGTCTTTTATCGACAGCGATCGTGGAGAAACGATGCTGTACTCGAAAAGTCGAAAAATGGACAATTTACTTTATCTACGGTCAAGGAACGAGACCACTCTGGTTTAGTTGCGTGTTTTACGTTCGATTATCGCCCGGGTATATGTTTAAACACGGCTTCACGATGTTCGTATTGTGTACTGCGCTTTTTTTTCTCCCCCCAAACAGTTCTACCTCTCGTTCTGTTAGCGCGTTTTATTAAGGTTAAATGTGTGTATGTGTGTGTGTATGCATTTGTGCGTACGAGTATGTGAATGTGTGTGCACGCGACTCGCACGAAACTAAATGGTCCAAAACAAACAAAAGAATAAAACGAAAATGACAAGACGATGTTTGTTATATCGATGATAAATTATATATATAAATATATATATGTATATTTAAGGACCTTCGTCGCTTAGCTTTACGGAAATAAGATGTTTTGATGAGAAGCAAGCGTTTGACTAACTCTTACCATACTGAGTGGTTTGTCCAGTGGCTCGTACTCGATGTAGTCGCTGGCAAATTTTCCGCACCCCTGCCACGTGTACAGTTCCGGATATGGCGGCGTACTTCGTCTGATAGTCGTAGACACGAATTTCTGCACAAGAACAAACTATAAAGACACTTTCTATCTCGTGATTTTTGATTTTCATTACTCTTAAACTTTGCTTTGCTACCGAAAGATTCTTCCCTCGAATATTTATTCTTTTCTTTCTTGCATCCTCGCCGCGCGATGTTACGAAACTCAGATCCGCCATTGTTGTTTACGAGAAAAAGGTTACACGAGTCAAAGGAGCATTTATTATTTTCGTTTTTCCATAATTTCGTTTCGATCGAACGAAATTGTTCCTATAGAAAGAAGGAATAGAATCTTACGGTTTAGCAAAGTGTATTTATAAAAAAAAAAACACGAAATGAATGGATAAATAAAAAAACAGGAAACCAAAGTGAAGTAAGTGCTGTCTCGAGTGACAGTACGTGTAAATAAGACTGTGACCGTGCACTTGCACGCGAAGTGCATACCATGTATTGTAGAACATTGAAAGCATGTATGAATAAATGTATAGCGAAGTTTATTTTTATTATTTAGATCGTAGAAGGAGATGATTCGAGTGTATTAGAAAGATTCCTATTAACGCAGTTATTTCCATTAGTTAAATTAATTAAAGAAATAAGATGAGACACGAAAGAACAAAGAATGAGATGCTTAACGGAGTCTATTTCAAGATGTTTCACATTCCTCGTTACCTTTGAACGAAAAAGATACCACCTTGAACGACTCAACACGAATTTTTTAAATGATAAAAATATCGATAATTTTATTTATAAACGCGTTTTAATTTTTATATATCGAGAAAATAATGCCTTTGTACGAGTCGAAGAGTTATTTATCAAAGAGAATACAACCACGAGAAAATAAAACACGTATTCCGCATACTTTTTAATTTATCCTTTTTTTACCAGATACCGAATATCTAGAATAACGAGTTCGAAATTCAACCCAAAAATTGACCTACCTTTTTTGTTTTCCGAGCGAAAGGCTCGTTGCGATTACGAGTCGGTTCGTTTCGATTTGTACAAAAAGTTATTTTATGCTTTAGATAAAATTAAACAGAAGTACACATGTTATAATGTGCAGAAAAGTGTGTAATGTAAATATAACCGATGTTATGTACAAAATTTTCAATTAATAACGCGTCAAATCGAGTTAAAAAGCGCGCGAACAAGTTTCCTCTGTGTTGTTAGTGTTCGCCATCTTGAATCGTGTTTGAAGAATCAGCTGTTATATTCGCGTATATTTCATGGTGACTGTGTTCATTCGGTAAACCTATATGCTTGCTAATCGATGTATTCGCGTTCAACTTTTAGGTTATGTAATTGATATGCGCATTTGCCGGTCAAGATATTTGTTCAAATTCGTATGCTTTTTTCGTTCCTATTCGTAATAAATCGAACGTGAAAATTTCTATCGGTAAAAATTTGTTTCTCATCGCTTTGAACATATTCAGCTGTCAAATTAGTACGCGGATACATTTGTTAATGAGTTTACGTGTTTACCAAGTTGACACATTTACTATAACGTATGTACAGTGGAGTCTCGCTACATGGCTACAAACAGCACTGTAAAAATCAAAACATTACGGTAATAAGCAATATAAAGTCTTTTCATGCTTCAGTATTGAAAACTTGGTATAGCTCACTAATTCTGAATCTACTTAAAAATTTCTGCATTTGAAAATTTCAGAATTTCTAAATCATTTAGCTTAAAAGTTTGAAAAAGCCGAATATAAATAGATGCTTCAACGTGCTACGTAGCGAGACGACACTGATCATACTACGCGAAATTCGCAAAAAAAGGCGCCAGTTACGAACGTCGATTTATATAGATCTAAATTGACGTTACATTTTTTAAGGAGCAAAAAATTGCTCCCACGGAGATGGATCTGAGATGAATAAAATGACACCGAAGAACTATAGTAGATAAAAAAGTTAATCTTTAACTTAATACTTAAAAATGATTTAATTTTAATGAAACGAAAAATAAACAAATAAAAATGATTATTTAAATTGAACTGAAATTTTGACATACACTTATCGTATCTATCACCACTATCCAAACATATCTTCTAGGTTAAATAATTCACTAATAAACTCGTTGGGAAACTTTAAACGTTTAAGTTCTATGATTCGTGAATTCACTTACTTGTACACCGCATTCGTTTTCACGCACTAGCAACAGAGGCTTTCGATCAGGATATTTAACGCAAAATTGACGTCGAAAGTTTTCAGCATACCATGCGAGCACTTTTTCTTTATCACTGACCGTATGATAACTGCTTGGAAGCGTTTTTAAGTATAGATCTTTTCTTACGTCTACTTCCGGCCAGCATAATTTGACCATACATAATTCTCCTTGCACTTCTTTTATCAGGTCTTTCGTTATTCGAATCAAACTTTCATACTTTGCCGGCTCGTCCAACTGAACTTTATCTTCCTCCGTAACCGTTGTTTCACTTTCGTAGCTTTCGAATTCTATTTCTTCGTCGTTTTCCTCCATTTGTATTAAACAAATTAAAGTATTTTATTACAACACGACCGAATAAGCCACGGTGTTTACTCGTAACAGGAAGTATCCGAATTCAAATCGAAGTTGTGTCGTAAATTGTTTGTTATCATGGCAACGCATTAAAATTGAGATATTTGATCGCGGTAGTGTCCAGAATTGTCGCTAAGGGGCAGCACGCATCAGCTCAATTTAAAAATATTGTTTTATAATTATTTATTCAAATGCACAGTACCGATTGTAATTTTTATTTTTTTTGAGCCGTAATAATAAATAATATTGCTGAAAATAAAAATTCATATCTTACTGTAATGATTTAATAAAACTGTGGATAAGCAATTCGTAGTTCGTTTCGTGTACCTTCTGCGCAACAAGATGGCGTAAGTTACAAGGCTTCCATATCGTGACATCTATAAAAAGGAATTTGAATGGTAAGTACATTTTAAATAATAAAAATACATATATCGAGAATTGATACATTAAGTTTTAATCTCAATAAAAGCACAGACGAGGTATAGAATGAACTATTTACAGTTTTTTATAACTAAATTGTTCCATTACGCAGTCTGCTTTTCGATGTAATAACCTGTAAACTGTTACATTTAATTTATACAGTATGAGGATAAAAGATTATGCGGTTATGAAATAATTATTTTAACGCGTTAGAAATACTGTACAGGCGCTATTATTCCATGTTTCTTTTTTTAATTTTATATAAAAAATAAATATCGTATAGGTTTCTTCTTTGCTGACATCAAAAGTTTTCTGTATTACCAACCTATTTCAGTGTCACTGACACACGAAAGATACGTGAATGCATCCGGCACGTTTTCAGATAACGTGATTTATTAATTATTAATGTTGATTATTATCACGGTTTTTATTAGTCAGTTAACTTGTTTATACTTTTTATGAGCTTTATTTCATCGAATTAATACAGTTAACTTCTCGAAATTCTGTAATCAATTACTTACGAAGAAAGTTACGCTGATGGAAATAAAAAAAATGTGCATACAATTTGGTTAAATAATAAATAAAGTGGAATATACCTCGTTCGCGTTGAAAGTAATGCTCGTCACCTGTACAAAAAATTCGAACGATTTAACTGTAACTTGTGCATAAAGCAGCATGCAATGTTAAGCGTTATGATTTTATTAATAAAAACTCGTCACATACATGTCATTGGTATAAAACATACGTATTATTAGAACGAAAATACATACAAGCTTTAATAACGACGTTTCACGTTGGTATATACAGATTGTCGCAGCTGAAGCGTGCGACCTCCAAACTGTAGATTCTCCAGAGCAAACAAAATCAAAAAGTCCTTTAGCATTTTGTAATTTGCAGCCTCGTTCTCGAGATATAATCGATTGCAAATTGGGTACTGATGTGTGAGTGCATATTTATATACGCGCTGCTCTAATCGCATACAATGTATCGTTAGTTATCTGTGGTTGATTTGTATTAGAATAAGACAGCACGTATACAGACGTTCACGCACACATATGGAATATTTTCAATCGTGCATATCTAAGCAACGAGGCTGCGGATTACAAAGTGGACTTTTCGATTTCTTTTGCTATGGAGAGCCTGTAGTCTCGAGGTTACACGCTTTAGCTGGGACACCTTGTATATATATTTTATTTATAAACTATAAATATAACAAATCGAATTGATTCCTTTGTAATATGTAACAAAACCAATGGAACTGAAAGATATAATTATGCGAATGTGTTATGTCGTTTAGAAATGATTGCGTTCTTTTTATTCATAAAATTTATGCGATTAGGTCTAAAATCTGTCGTAATTTCATTTACGCGTCTTCAAGTCGTTTGATTTTTCCTCTTCCACGTGAACTCCTTACGTTTACTGAAAAATTTCACTGGTCTTTCCTCTCTTCAATTTCACGTCATGGTTTTATATATATTACACGCGAGGGTCGATTTGAATATCAACAATTACTTAAAAAAAACTTCAATTCGCATCGTTTGAATCTTGCCGCCATTTTTGAGCCGCTTCTCGTCTGGCATCAGGAACCAATTGCGACTGCATACCACCCAAAACGTTATTAGTCGCCTCTGTAGCCAAAATAATAGGCTTCACAACTGTCGGTGGTATTTGCCTCAATACACCTCCTACAGCACCAGAGACTCCTTTTTGTTCGTGCTCTTCGCTAGCTACCCGGACCAACTGATTCGCGGTTTCACCCAAACCCTAGACAATTGTTTGTATTAATTAGACATTATAAACTTACTGTACATGTATTTTTCAATATACTCTCTTGCTAAATTAACATCATGCAGCAAATATTTCACCCACCTCTTTCACTAACAAATAAGCATTAGCCATTCCCTCTCGAATATCCAATGGCTGATTATATCGTTTCCGTCGCCCCTTCTGTCCTTTGCTTTTGTGTCTTACACTGGGTCCAGGGCTGACCATGTCATAAGCAGTTTCAGCAGTACTTTGTATAGCGTGTATTAATCTAGATGTTAATTCTAGTGCTGCCATTACAGTGGATGTCGTAAAGCTATTTGCGCCCCGTTGCAAACCTCTAATGATTCTACCGTCTTTTTGATACTGTTCAATGGGTAACCAAAATAAGTCTCGTATCCCTTGGACTGAAATGAAAAATGAATACGTAAATGTAATAGGTTCAAGTAATTGGTATGAAATGTATACTTACACAATTGCACCAATGAATGCATCGGGCCTACGCCGCCAAGCAAACTTGGAAGCTGATTTTTTTTTATATCTTGCAACCATTCGGAAAGTAAAAACGTGATGAGCTTATCGAATCCCAGAAGTCCATGTCGATGCGTTAACCTTTTCAGTCTTAGTTCGGAACAGTTCAATTGCGCTAGACCCATTAGAAGGCCTGCTAACGGCCCATGAGTAAGGTCTACACGTTTTCCATGGTAATCTAACCTAACAAGGACTTCGGGGGAAAATATCACACTTCTGAAATTATAAAATAATTTTATGTAATTTTAGTCGAGTGATTATACTTTGGGCTATTTTTATAACTATATGCTTACCTAAAATATATTGGTTGACAATCCTCGTGGATCTCGTACGTCGGTTTTGTCTTCACTTTACTCTCTTTAATCATTAGCTCGTCTTCTAGAAGTATTAACAAATTTGGATCTATATTATCGTTCTGCGAAGTATTCGTTGGCGTTGAAGCATTAGGCGCGGAATCGTTCACACTCATAACAGGTGGATGATGCGTTGGTGTTCCTTGCTTGGACACCGGGGACGACTGAGGATTGTTAGGTGTACTAGAATTCTCTTGAGTTTGCTTCGAACCACCACTCAATTCGTTGAAAAATTCTATCAAGAACAATAGGCTGTCTTGATCAATATTTAGACGCAAAGGCAGTAGGCTGAGCTTTAAACAACATTCTTGAGCACTTAATCTTGGATCGGGTCTCACGTGAACTGCTTTCATGGCAAACATATTCGCATGAGACTGTTTAGGTCTCGCTTCACTACTGTACTGGTATAAGAATTTGTTGATGTGCGAGGATGCCAATCTGTCTCTAATTTCTATCTCGCTTACTAGTAATATTTGTCTTGCGGCTTCCGCGGTGTTTTCTGGATAAACTTCATGTTGAAAGCGTACTTTATTTAGCTGAAGTTCCATTAGAACGTCGTGTCGGCGACCGGGACCTCCCAATACTTGCCACTTGGTACTTTCTTTACATTTTCCACGGGGCGAATTTGGTACACTTTCAAAATGTACTTCGTTCGGATTGGATTTGTTGAAAGTTACTCCGTCGCACCATGGTAATCTATTCCTATGGATATAAAATATATGTAATACAGTGGGACGTTTAGTTATTTTATATCAAGCATGACCGAGTGCCTCTCCGCTGACTATTAGATGATCGGTTTACCCGACATCAGTCAGCCTGTACCACTAGGTCATACCTGCTCTATGTAATGTAACATACACACTTTTCTTGGTACGCTGTGTTAGATCGAAATGCGTTATCATTGATAATAACTTGTTTTTTCACTGCTGACTGCGAAGGTTTTTCAAAATCTTTCCCTCCATACATGTGCCAAATCAGTGTCATCTCGCAAAGGGTGTATCTTAAAATTGGAGCCGGGAAATGTCGTGGTGCTTTAAGTAAATCAGTTTTACCGAGCGGGACCGCGAAATGATTATCAATTATCTTTAATGATTCTTGACAAAGCCAACGAACTTCTGGTACTCCGTGTCTAGGCATGATTCCTGTACCAGCTTCTTCTCCTAATATACAAAAATCTTCGTTAGGATCCTCAATTTCTATATTACACTGCGGCTTGGCACATTGGTCAGGACTTTTACACATTTCAGGTACTGCCTGCGATGCAGGATGTGATTCATCGGGGAAGAAAAATACTTCCACCTGATTCTCAGTTGACACTGTATTACCGTCTACGTTCGAAGATGTTCCTTTAACAAAATTATTATTAATTAGCTACTTAATTACTTTAGTGTTTCATCGTGTTATTTAAATGCTACCTTTCACAGTTTCTTCCATCGCGTCCTCCATCAAAGTATTTACACGTTCAACTTGACTCTTGCTTAAGGTATTAATACTCTCATCTCGAAGCAGACTTTCTTCATCCCCAGAACTTGGTACGGTGCACGTACTCTCAGTATTTTCTGTATTCGGTATCAAGTCTCCGTCGTTCGCAAAGTATGTTAGCAACTGAATAAGAGCACGACCGGAATCTGAACACGTTCGAACATGCAGAACATTATTGCTGGCTCTCAAATCAACTCTGGGTGCACCACCGCACATTTTATCATTCAGCCTTAATGATAATTCAAACAATCCTACATCCATTACGCACACGTAATCTTGTTTTAGATTTACGTATTTCCCCAATTTATTAGATATGAATAAGGCAATATCTTCCGCTATAAAACGTAAAGTTGAAGTATTTGTTTGTGCGGCAATGTTGCTGGACACGCTAAAGTTTCCAAGAGTAACCATTGATCTCAAGGGTAAATGAAGTGGTCTATAATCAACAGCGCAGTCCCAAAGATGTAAATGTAACTCTGTTAATATTCCTGGCGGAGAGTAGCCCGCAACAGGATGATCAGCTACATCCAAGCAGTCAGTTAACTGCGTGAACCATGATGTACCAGTAGTGCACATTCTATGTCTCAGCGTAGCATTCGTTATGCCTACCGCTACCCTGAAAGTCTTTATACGATGAGTCTGATGAGAAGCTTGTATTCTTATAGCAAGCATCACCATGTCTTCGTTATTGTTATCTGATCCCGTCGCATTTGTTTCCAGTGCGCTTTTATATATAACATCTAAACAATGCGGTGGCTTGACGCTGTTGACAGATCTCAGCAAAGGTGGTTGCGAAGGAGCTGTCATTAGTCCGCAATGATCCAAATACATATATTTAATCATAGCGCATACGTAACCCAGATTCGAATTTCCTCTGTACGAAGATACCGAAAATATTGTTGTATCGTATAGTGAAATTATCAACTCCCCTTGTTGTCCAGGAATAACATTACGCATTGAATCACGAACAGGAGTATACATGCAGAGAACACCTTCACCTATATTCAAATACAACGCTAATTTACTCTGACCATTTCTAGATATTTTATTCTGACGTTGTTTGTAACTTTTATCAGCTGCTGAATGAAATATGCCCTCTTCGTCCGAGTCTGAATCAGAGTCATACTGTATTCCGCTTTTACATGTACTAAATCTAAAAATGTATCAATTTTATTTAACACGAATAGTTCTATAATATTTGTTAAATATTGCTTACCTAGGATATACAGACTCTTGTAATAATGTTGACGCCAAATCGATACCTATGTGACTTTCCATGTGCGTAGTATACTTTGGTCTTGGTGCTGAGGGTTCCCATAAAAAAAGATCAGTATTAAACCTGTTATACAGTAATTCATAAAGATGTTTAGATGGTATTTGGACGGAAACACATGGAAAGTTGATTTCTAATTGAATTCTGGAACTACGGAAGCCGTCATCCATAAACTCTATCATTTCGTCTCGACTTCCTGGTATAATTAATTCTTCACCCTCCCTATTAGAATAATAAAATTAAATATTATGTTGCCAATTAACAAAAGCAAACAAACATCGAACAAACCTTTGTTCTGAATCATCTTTATCGCCTGGCACGTAAGGTTTGGAATGAGGTGTATCAGACTCATGAATAACACGTTTCGAGCTGAATGGCGATGGTTGGTGTTTAGGCGCATTTTCCAAAGTTTCATCCAAACTTGAGTCAGGATCTTCTTCCGAACTATCTTCTAACTGGCCGCTCAAGCGTTGCGAATAAATTGTAATAACTACTCTAGCCCAACCAAATCCTTCGTTTTGTTGATATGATGCATTATTCTTCTCGTCAGTAGTAACTTCTCCTATATTTATGGGTGAATCCGTTTCTGTTTCTGCATAAGATAATAACATCTTCCGGAACTGAATTTCATGTTTAGTCACGGTGTGAGAAACTGTTCTCGCGGTAGAACGAATTTGTGCATCTGTCAATTTCAAAATCATGTAATCTGTTCTTACTGATCTTTTCCACCATGGAGCTCGATTCATGTCGTGAAGCGGTCTTAAATCTGGTATTGGAAACCTATTTTTAAATTATGGTCCATTAAATATATTGTGATATGAATAGTTTCTCTATTTCCATATTGTCAAGTAAAAAGAGTTCAAGACTTCCAAATGTTTTTCCTTTAACGTCCTGAATATACATTACCTTAATTTTATCGTACATTGCGATGAAGATACATTTATAGTAACTGCAGAGTCTGACATAGTTGGACTTTCCACAGCTTGACAAAATAATGTCTGTTGATTCTGGAAATCGTATCATAAGATAAAAGAAAATTCGTTTATTGTAATTAGATACTATGTAAAGAGAAATTTATAACTTACAAGATTTCTATTCTTAGATGTTGGATTGCAAACGCAGATAGGTTGTGGATTAAGTAAAGCACATATTCTATCTACAATAGTTATATCTATTTCAGTTTTACACGGCTCCATATCAATACTAAAATATAGAAGTGATTAGCAACAGTTCTTTACATTGATATGCATGTATGCAAAAGATAAATGTATGTGTACTTACTCAATATTTGTACGCGGATGATCACATTGCAGCACCCAAGGATGCGGTTTTTCAATATTTACCACATATTTAAATTTCATTTTAAAATCTGTTTTGTTAGTAAAACCAAAATTTGTCGAACTTTCTTTAACAAAGGTAAGTAATTCTACATATTCCGTCGGTGGAGTTTCATTTGTACAAGTATTGTTTGAATCGATCAAACATTCTACAATTTCTAGACTAGCTAAAGTTAACGTTCCAGACAGATAAGAACATATTGTGGTAGTTCTTTCTGTTCCTTCAATCACAAGCGGTGCAGCGAGTAGCCTAATATGACTTAAATGACAAGCATCTAAGAGTATCTTAGATGCTTTATCAAAATCTTTATTTCCATATCCTCCAACTGCAAACATTCCTAGCTGTTTGAAAAAATCATCTGCTGAATTCTTCATTTGCTGTATACTAGAGCACGTTAAGCCGCTCCCTTCCACACAAGTAGTTAATATATCTTCGTGTAACAGAACTACAGCTATGGAAGATACTCTCACATGAAAATGAGACGTTTCCGTAGAAGGACTGTTATCCACACTGTGTCTATGTTTTTGTTGTGGTAAATTTGTTGAAGAACTTTTTAAACTAATGCTACTACTTGATATGCTTCCATCCATGTTAACATTATTGCTTGTGACAGAATCACTCATTGATGTAGATCCTGGTAATCGCATTGGCAAAAATTCATCTTCATTATCAGATTCATCCAAAGATGCTGTAGACCAACCTTGTGTATGCCTTAAATCCTGTAACAGTAGTATTCAAAATTGATAAAAATTTACATGTAATTTAAAATAATTAATTTGTTACATTTATCTTTTATTACCATAATACGTAATCCTTGGTTTGGATGTATTTGGTGAATAAGTTCTCGTTCTACGCGATTGAAGTCACTACCAGCCATAGGTTTTTCGGTACAAGTTCTTGGTGCAACATTACTAACATCCTCCAAGTCCGGAGATGCAAGTCCATGTCCCAGTTCCAATAAAACGTGCACCTGTCGCGGGCTTAGAAACGAAGTAAAAGATCCCAATGTTACTTCTAATTCTACCTGAAGTAATTAGTTCTCCTTTACTTTGTGCCAAATGTTTTATAAATGTTTTTTCATTTCAAAAAAATATACATATATTTTAATTTTAATTAACTTTTACCTTTGGCCCTGAAACACCTTCTCCTTGTTTCAGCTTTAATCTTATTTCTTGTCTGCCTGCTAAGTTAGCAAACATTATAGGTTTTGATTCACTTATGTTATTAATAAAATTTCCTTCTGGAGGAGTTTGCATATTTTGATTGGGAGAGATTTGAGCAGAAGAAAATTGGCCATCTGAATTCTACAGCAGAACAATGTTATATAATTCTTCTTGTATTCCTTTTTATATTATTTATACTAAATATAAAAACTTACTTTGGAATCTGGCGTTGAACCTCTACTTGTTGTAATAATACTTCTAGAAAAAGTTCTTGCATGAGAAGGAAATTCATCTGTATGAAAAGTCACTCCTTCCAAATAAAACCGTTTTGTTGTAAACGCCGATATAATATATCCTTTTGTTGATTGACTAGGATCTAATGAAGTATTACTTGGATCCAAGCCTGCTTCATCAGAATATTCAAGATTTTTTATACACATTTCTATTGCAACTCCTGTTGAGGAATCAAGTGGTACATGTTCCAAACGTATCACAGTATCTATAAATCTCACTTTGACCCTACATAAAACTGACATAAAAACATGACTATATATTCCATCAATTTTATCAATATATTTTAAGCTTCAATGTATTGTCTGAGAATTCTTACTTGAATCTATTGTTTGTGCAAATAACTCTACTCCTTCCAAAGGTTGTGAATTCCCAGCATTATTTGCATCTTCCTGCAAGCATTCTTGCGCAAGTTGCATACTGGATGTCATTGAACTCCACATAGATTCAAACATCGAAGTTCCTGTTTCGGCTCTTTGTCTAGGTTGAACCGTCAATCTAAGACCAGTCACTTCCACAAAACTAGCTTCGCTAAGCAAAGCTGACCATGGTATGCTAACAGACATTTCTGCCACAAAACCATCAACAAATTCTAATGGCAAATGTTGCTGTTCTCCCATCTCATTTAATGCCTGTCACAAAATTTATATATAATTAATCATTAAATTTTAATGAACTATTATTTCTTTGTGTTTTACTCATTGTAGAGATGATATTCAATATAATAAAAATAAAACATGAAATACACGTTGCTCAAAATACTTGGTTTACATTTAACATTTTTCTTTCAAGGCAAACAAAGAGATTTGAAACAAAGAAAATGACAGTACCTGTACATCAAGGCTGACATTGGTTACACGACCAGTTCCATTGTAAAGATCTACGGTGAGCTGGTCTAATGTCAGCTTTTCCTCCAAAAATTGGCCAAGATATCTTTGCAGCAGATATCTGCAGGCTCTTTTCTTTATCCCTTGAGACCAGGGAAAGCATCCCAACCAAGACATTTTCTTCCCACGTTTGACAATCTAGTCTAAGATAGACATGGGATTTTTCAGTGTATTTCTCGTCATATGTTCGATATTAGGCCTGTTATTCGAGCAAAATACAAACAAAACAATTTATCTACGTGAATTTCATATTTCTAACACGTGTCCACTCTGGTACAATGATCTTTAACATAATATGTACAATGATTCGAACGTAACGGGGTTCTAGCTGCGTAATGTTTTTCTTTGCGTGCACTACGCACACATGCACACATGCATCGCACACAGATACGAAAATCTGACCAGTGGATAAACACTGTGAAAGGAAACACTGGTCCCTCATTGACTGTCATTGACTGAAATCAGCTGACTTTGAAGAAAGGCGCACGAATATTAATGCTTCTCAATGTCCTTTCACTTTTTTCACTATCAGCGCAGTTTTGTTCTTCATTTCTATCGTGCTTGATTAGAAATCTAACCAAGTTATGTTATTTTTATTTTTTATCCACTTATACATTCAGTTCATGTAAATATTTTTGAGGAAGTAAGGTAACGTATATGTACAGTTATATGTCCGAATAGCATCTTTTTTTCTTTAATATTTTCTTTAACTTCAAAGAAACGATATTTTATTTTGATTAATTATGCAACGTTACTATTTTTTAAAAATTATTATACGAATCGCACTTTTCTAAAATGCACATAATAAATATATATGAATCGATTTCGAATCTGCATCGAAAACTACAATGATACACTCTTATGTTCTATACAATTATAAGTACGAAACTTGTTCTGCTATATGTTTAACAATGAACAATTTATAATTACTTGAATATGATATTTTAAAATTTAATTAAATCGAGGGAGAATAATTCGAAAGGTTTACTATATCGGGTGTATCTATATTCATGTTGGTTTTGCGCATATTATTCGTTTCCCAGTAAATCATTCTTGCGCATATCAGCTGATGTCAGCTCTGATTAATTCAACATATTCGCATTGCAACTTTTGTGTTTCGAAACATGTATATCCAGTGCTCTTTTATCTTGCATTTTTCTTACATTAGACATGGTTAAGTGTGTCGTGTGTTCAGAGTTACAAGAAAATTTGAAAGTTAAAAGTATGAAGATTTGGAATTCAAAAAGCTTAGAAATATATGAATCTCGTTGGAGAATTGATTCCTATTATTAATATATTCAGTTCACAATGTGTATTGCCGACGAAGTAGAAGTCGCATGATAGTAGTCTACTCTTTAACATTAGTACGAATAAGTGGTGGGGAGTCTACTGAAGTTAGCATAATATCTCACTAATAAGTTCAGATCAGTTCAGATATGTGGTGATCGAGCGATCTGTCAAAGATTATTTAACTATTCGTCAAAATTTAATTAAGAACTGTATTTTTTGAATCTACAATCATATTGCAGAATATACATTTTCATACATTTGAAAAATGGCTTTAACAAATATTTTACTTCTTAGCCAAATATCCGGATATGTCGTAGCTCTTATTTTGTCACTTTGCATTATTATACCTATGAGTTTACATCAAGATGAATTTAGGTAGTTGTAATATATTAAATAGCATGTTATAAACATTGTTAAAATATTTATGCAACAAATTGTTGTATGTGTTGTTGCTGTTTGTTTGCAGAGGACATTGTCTATTATTCTCAACAGGAACTTGGCAAGAATCAGATGGTCAGTTTGTCGTAAACTGGGCTCCACAGGCTTATTGCAACTATACAATATTTGTTGGCCTGGTGTTGCTGATAACATCGGCAATACAAATCTATCGACTTTCTGTGTTTATGTATCGCGGAGAAGATAGTTCCTTCTTGTCAGCCTTCATAGATGTTGTTAGTTCGATATTACTTACAACAATTACATTAGTTGCTGCAATCATTATTACACTCGGATTTATGACTTGGTGTCAATGTATGACAAAAAGATTTCCATCGTGTGAGTTAGCAGCTGGAAACGATATTGATAAAGCTGATGGAATAGATACATCTGGTTTTCATATTGAATTAGGAGCAGCCCAATTTGGAACTTGGACTAGTTTATCAATTTGGGTTGGTTTATCAGTATTTGCAGTATTAAAGTTGTTACGATATCATCAATTAGAGAATATGAAAGTTTCCATGTATAGAGAAAGGCAAAGATTGATAGAAGCTGCCAGAAGTAATGAAATCCAAGAATCGACATAGAGGCACGAATGTAAAACATAAAATTTAGTTCTGAGATGGTAGTATTTTTTTATCCAACTATTCTTCAAAGAAATATTTATACCCTATGAAATCAGTTTTCCATACGCACAGTTTATAATTAATACAATTAAAATAACATATTTTGACCGAACATAGTTTCGTTACTTATTAAATACTTGAATGATTCTTACTACATTAAAGTAAGAAATTAAAATATTAAAATAACACAACTTTTACTTTGTAAATATAATTTAGTAGATAATTTTTTTACCTTTATACATATCAAACTGTAGAAAATCATGATCCACAGTTTTTGTAAGTAGTATTAAAGTTTACAGTAATAAGTTTATGGTTAATTTTATTTAATTTAATTAATGTTGAAGATTGTTAAATATAACGGATTTTATTCTTGTATTACATTTTTGTTGATCTGTATATATAGTGCATAAAAATAGTAACTGTCAAAATAGTAATACAAACCAGTAATTTATATCAATGAATTTAATACCCAGCTTGATGGTATAAATTTTATAAAAATAAAAATATATATTTGAATGTACATAAATTAAGAATTTCGTCGTGAATATACTTAATTAATTAAGTAATATATTTTGTAAATATGTATAGCATATATTCTCATAATATACTCAAATCATAATAATATGTTTATATTTATTATATTGAATCAACCAAATGAACAAATAGTTCATTATAAACAGAAATTTTTGTACCAAAATATTTGGTACAAAAAATCAATTTAAAGTATTTCTCTACACATTCCAAGAGCGATTCTGCGACTTCCTGGAGGACATGGTTGCCGTTTCGGTACTTGAATTATTACAAATGGCGCAATTTCTGTTGGTACACACTCTAACTCAAAAGTAGTTTCGTTTACTCCTATCACTCCATCAGGACCACAAGGGCCTCCCATAGTTCTTAAAGGATAACATGTGTTGTTATATGATACTAAACCATCCTCTAAACAAGGATTTTTTACACATTTTGGCACACTTTCATTTTTAGGAAGTACCACGTAATTTTTTGGTTGACAAGGTCCTTGTTTATAAGCTTCGTAACATGAATCAGATAATGGAAAATATAAAAATCTGGGTCTGCAATCACATACCCATGTGCTAATATTTCCACTTCCTGGATAAAGAAGCATATTTTCGCGACATATATCTGGTGCAGCTACTGGAATACGCTCCGTTATCTATAAAAAAAATTAAGCATGTTTCCTTTTTCTGTCTCTTTTCTTATATCAATTTTTAATTTGACATTGTAACATAATTCGTAAATTCATGCAAATTTAATTACCGACACATTGTTGCCACTGACATGAGTTATTTCTTCGTCATCAGGAAACACAATATCTTGACAGGATATTATGCAATTCCATATTATCAACATAACACCAAAAATTATCCACTTCATTTTATGTGTGATATTACACAATTTTCTTTTTGTATAAAACTGTAATACTAGTAATTTGTTGTTAATGTAAATTATTTAAATCCAAATTTAGTGTTAATGCTAACTTATATTATCCAATGTTTCTGCAGAATGTCAGTGAAAACATAGATAACACTGTATCTTTAATGTTCTGTTTTCCTTTCAATGACCTGAAATGACCCTGACTTCTCAAGGGCAACCATAGCTGAAGAAAACAAAAATATTAAAATCAACGACCAATCATTATTAGGCATTTAAAGTGAATTGACATTTATCATTCATTGCTTTTAAAACCATAATTATATTATTTTTTAAGGAATAACAAATATGTGTAATGAATAATAGATTCTTTTTATTTTATATGCATAAATAATTCAACATCATTACGCATTTTATTCTTCTAAATATGGATCATATAAGTTTTTAATATCATTTGCACTTAACACAAATGTACTTTCTTCAAACCCTGGCCAAGATTGAAGTTGAAAAAAAAGATCATAGACTTGAGTAGGGGTCAGATCACTAAATTGGGTGAATATATTATAGTTCTGTGCTATTAATTTTACACCGCAATCTGGTATTATTTTCCTAAAAATTTTTGTCAACATTAACATTGTTATTACATAATAATGTATCCTGGATGAATACATTGTCTTATATTTTCATATTACTTACTCCAATGTGGGTATCACTTTAGTTGATGGTTTATAAAAATTATGTCGAACAAAATGCCAAAAATATATTAAATCTTTTCTAGACTTAAACAGTGTAAATAAATCTGGCTTTGGTTCTATCTTAACTACAGTTAATAAACAATCTTCGTTCGTTCGTAACTTTGAGCTTTTCGTATTTTTACTTTTATGTTGTGGTAAGAATGCTTTTCTGTCCACCGTTCCAAAAATTTGCAAATTAAATAATGTATTAAATATAATATAAATAGCTGTTGATCTTTTAGGGTGTACGAGTTTCTAAAAAATAAACTAATACTTAAAATTTATTGTTTCCATTAATGTAAATAAATTTCAATACAACTTCAGTCTATCTTTGAATAATAGATTGCTATATCAAGTAAATTTAAAGATAAAAATTTTTATACAGAAGAACTAATCATTTTTTAAAGGCATTAAGAAGAAAATACTAACCCTATAAATAGACATTGGTATCGCAAAATAAAAGGTTGGTCTTCCATACATCATAATACTTGTTTGAAATATTGTACATCCTATTAAATTTCTTATAAAAGCAGATTGTATCGTTGCTCCAACTATTTGTACACAACTTTCTTCCCATTTCTTCTTTTGTATGTTACTTAATAATTTGTCATCAGTATTTACAGTAATATCAGACAGCAATTTTGATAAACTACATGTATTAAATATTTTTAAACTCAATCGATTGGGAAATTTTTCACTCAAATTATTTAAGGAATCACTATACTGAGTATTACTTTCATATAAATGTATGAATGGTACATTGGCTTGCAATAATTCTTTTGTTAAAAGACCTAAACCTGGATTTATTTCTACTACTTGTTTCATATTTTTTAATAGATCATCTTTAATTAATACAACAAATTGCTTGGCTACTTCATCATTCATTAAATATATAATTGTCTGCTTCTTACGTTGTGATAAAAAATTATGCAAATTTTTTTTCATAGATTTTGTATGAACATCTGATGCATTCAAATGAAATGAACTATTTTGATTGTTATTCTTTTCTTCTGTATGTAAATACACTGTGTTTGATACATCTGTTTTATAATGCATCCATTGAGTTGGATAAACACTAAATTTCTTTACCAAATGATGGATAATATTATCAGTAGATAAGATAGCACGATTATAAAACACCATCCGCAATATACAAATTTTTTGAAACATTATCAAATTTTGGTTACGCTTTTAATTAATATACAATAACATAGTAAATGTACATTTTTAAGGTTAACACAATTTCCTACACATAGAGTTCTTATACACAGATGTGATACGACTAAATGTTTATACAATCGAATTATGTAGGATTTGCATACGTGTCAACTCTATAGACTGGCTCTGTTGTAATATTATGTATTGATTCTGTGATAGAATTGATCTCACGTTGGTGTAAGTATTTTTTTATACCTATGTTTCTTATTAATAATTTTTTTCTTTTTACTACAGTAATATAACTTACCTAATATAACCTTGGAAAACTACTTCCTTTCTAAGTTTCTTATTGTAATCTTTTTATAGTTTCTGATCCAGTATGATTATATGTGTAACATATTTAAAGTACTGTCAATAAAAGATAGAAATATTACTTGTAGAATCAGTATTTCTTAATATTAAAGAATAGAAAATGGCACAAAGCGCTTCACTATTATCACGAATAGTAGCCTCTTCTGTAACTGCTACAGTGAGAGCAGGTAAAATCATAAGAGATGTTATGAATCGTGGATGTCTAAATATAGTAGAAAAAAGCAAGAATGATTTACAAACTGAAGCTGATCGTTGTGCTCAAAGGTGTATTATTGCTTCATTAAGTCATCAATTTCCAAATATTACTATTATTGGTGAAGAAGAGGCATCTAGTTGCGAAGTACCATCTGATTGGATTGTAACAGAGGCAGATCAAGAAGTATTAAATTTACAATTACCAGCTCACTTAGAAAACATTGATGCTAAAGATGTATGCATTTGGGTGGATCCATTGGATGGTACATATTTTTTATATGGTTTTAATTAGTTTATATACATGTATTTTGTTTTTCAAATGTTTTAATACAATATTCATGTTTCAGGAACATCGGAATATACACAGGGTCTTGTTGAACATGTTACAGTTTTAGTAGGAGTGGCAATTGGACAAAGAGCAGTTGGAGGTGTAATTCATCAGCCATATTATAAAAATGCTGAAAGTAATGTGTTGGGACGTACTTTATGGGGCATTTATGGTGCAGGATTTGGTGGATTTACACCATCTGCACCACCAACTGGAAAAAGAATAATTACTACTACACGGTATGATTTAGTTTTATATATTAGTTAAAATTGGTGTTCTTTTTACTAAATAAAGACAATTTATCATTTCCTTAGTTCACATTCAGATTGTAATGTTCAAGCAGCTATAAACTCTTTATCCCCAGATGAAGTTTTGCGTGTTGGTGGTGCAGGATATAAGGTAATATATTTATATTATATACAATTTGTACATTTGAACTGTTCTGAAACGTATACTTTCTTATAGGTAATACTTTTATTGGAGGGGAAGGCTCATGCTTATGTATTTGCCAGTAAAGGTTGTAAAAGATGGGATACCTGTGCACCTGAAGCTGTTCTTCATGCTGCTGGAGGTATTTTAACTGATTTTTATGGAGAAAAATATCCATATCATGCTGGAACACCATATCCAAATGTAAGAGGTGTTTTGGCTACTGCTCCTGGTGAAGTTCATGAATGGTATTTGAGTAAAATACCGTCCGAAGTAAAAGAGAGATTAGAACAGTAATGTAAATAGTTTTGTGGGAAGAAAAAAAAGAAAAATGATTTAATTTATATATATAAATTATTGAAGTATTCTGATGATATCACTATAATGGGAAATGTTGGGAATGGTTTTTAAAAAATTACGAATTCTATGTAATAAAGTAAAAAGAAGTTGTGTTAAAAGAAAATTGTAACAAAAGTTTATAAATGTTATTTCAGTTGTTTCATGTTTTTCCTGTTTTTTTTTTTCATGTCTTAAAAATTAAAATTAACGTACACGTGAGGTAAGAACACATTTAAATTGCTAGTATCTATAGTTTTGATTTAAGCGTATCGCGAAGAACTCGACGTAAAATTTTTCCTGATGCGGTTTTGGGAATATTCGCAATAAACCTGATCCCGCCTCGTAGTCGTTTATGGTTGGATACACGTTCTATAACAAGTTTTTGTTAATAGATAATCAAAAGATTAATAAGAAAAGAACTTACCATTTACAAATTTAGTGATATCTTCTTCCGTTATATTAGATCCTTCTTGTTTAACGATAAAAGCAGTCGGTAGTTCTCCTGCTTCTTCATGGGGCAATCCAATAACTGCTGCATCTTTAATTCCAGGACACGTTAATAATATTGCTTCTAGTTCAGCTGGTGGAACTTGAAATCCTTTATATTTAATTAGTTCTTTTAAACGATCTACGATATAGAAATATCCCTCTTCATCATAATATCCCACATCTCCTGAATGTAACCATCCATCATTATCAATCATTGCTGCTGTAGCTAGTTCATCATTACAATATCCTTTCATTATTAAATTCCCTTTGAAGCATAATTCTCCTGCATCGTTTGGTCCCAAATTTTGACCCAAATTGTTTTCATTAACTGATATTACTTTTGCTACATATAACAAAAAAATAATAAGGAGGAGTGTATGAAATACGAATTTCTAATAAATTACCTGAAATTCCTGGAGCTAAAATTCCTACACTTCCATATTTTGTACTATTATTTGGTGATTTAATTACAGCCAAGGTAGTTTCTGTTAGCCCATATCCTTGTTTTATATTGTTCATATTCAATCTCTTTGCAACCACTTTTGCAATTTTTTCTGATAAAGGGGCTGCACCACACCTAATGAAATAAACATTAATAAACTCATAATTTATATCACTATTAAATTATGGTCAATATTTGTAAATTCAATGGCATTTAAAATGAACATACCAAATCTCTTTAATACTGGATAAATCATACTTGTCTACAATAGGATGTTTTGCTAAGAATACCATAAGTGGTGGTACAATTGTTAGATATCCAATTTTGTACCTTTCTATTGTACGTAAAAATATTTTCTCATCAAAGCGTGGAAGAATGACACTTTTATTTCCAAAACTTAATCTCACAAGTAATACAGAAAAAGAATATGCATGGAAGAATGGTAATAATGCTAAAGTTGTAGCATTACTATTCACAATTTCAGGTGATGAAATTGCAAAGTGTCTTATCACAGTTAAGAAATTTTTATCTGTTAACATAACTCCTTTTGGCAATCCAGTGGTGCCACTAGAACATGAAATGACTGCTACATGATCATTAATATCTGTAGAACAAGCATGGAAGCTATTATCAACAATTATATTTGATGTTAATTCATTAATATTTGGTAACTTAGTATCTGTAGATTCTGTCAACATTATTAATTTTGGTGACCAAAATAACTGGGAAGCAATTTTGCATATGTTCTTTGCTCCAATTACTGACATAAAAATATACTTTGGTTTAGATATATTTAATGTATGTTTTAATTCCCTTTCTGTGTAAAGTGGATTCAGTGGACAAACAGTAATACCCAAATATAACGCAGCACATACTGGTATACAGAATTCAGTACTATTTTCACTACAAATAGCTATACGATCATCCTTCTTTAATCCTTCTTTTTCTAAAGCAATTGCTAACTTCTGACTACTATCTAGAATCTCTTTAAATGTTTGTTCCTTTCCTGTATAAGCATTTATCTGGAAATATACTAGTAAGTAACAGAATAAATATCATAATCTTAATTACTATGAAAGTAATGAGTTTGAAAGAGACAAATGCACCTGTGCTACCCAATGGCTATGACTACGTAATTGATTTAAAATTAATTGTCCCAGGGATAAATTTTTAAATTCCAGCAGAGGCTCTGGTGGTCCATGTAAGATATTTTTTTCTTGCATAATGATATTTTTATTTTATAACCTCAAAAGGTGGTTATTATATTATTAAAAGGCTGTAAAAATGTAAAATTACAGCAATTATAATCTCTGTAATCTGTAATCACTAAACTATTATGCGAAGGACATTCACCCTTAAATATAGTCTTATACAATCTTTGTTGTATACGTTATCTATATACGAGGAAGCAGTAAATATAATTATTTTATTTTCCTATAATACCCAACACCGTTTCTTGATAAATTAATATTCAGATATATAATACTGATACGTTTGATTACGACATTGCGTAAAATTCTTTATTATCTTGTATCATTAAAAGTAATTTGAACTGTCGATTTTCCGGTGTGCATAAACCGAAGATGGTTGCATTTGCGAATCAGATTGTGCAGCGCACAATATGCATGAACCTAGAAATATAGGGACAAGAACATATTTTTGAGGGGTGAAGCATTGCAGAATGAGGGAAGAAGATAAATCATAGCGTTTAGAAAGAGAAGGCGATAGTAACAAACATGGTATCTCTTTCTACTACGCCATTTGGTGGGAGCAGGATAGGGGTAAAACAGAATATTGTAGCCAATGGAAGCTTCTTTACCCTCCAATTGTCCCCTCTCCTTAGGATGTGTGAGAGAAAAAGCACGTCTAATCTTATATATCTGTCCCTTAGACTTTGCTCTAACTTTTCTTATAGGGATATTCAGTTTATATTCAAGCAATTCAGGCTTACTCTCCATCTTGCTTCATCCCTATATTCCTAGTTCAGAGTATAGTGATAAGGTTTGGCGTGTGTGTGAAGTACATTATAGGTTAAATATGAGTGAGGGGTGAAAACAGTTTGTGCTTGCTCGATTTATAAACAAATTCTTAAGAATTAATCCAAGGAAAACGTATATCGTGTACAAAGATACCATATTTCGTAAGAAAAAATGGGTGTACCTGCATTCTTTCGGTGGTTGAGTCGGAAGTACCCTTCTGTGATTGTTGAATGCATTGAGCAAAAGGTAGGTTAGATTGTTTGTGTGAATGAAAAATATTTAATATACAGCACATCTTGTTTGTATGTGAAAAATATTATACGTCTGAAGTATCTTAATGTTCCTTTTCATTTCTTGTAAAAGTTTGGTAAATTTTAAATGATATTTATAAAATATTTTTGTTACTGTATTATGTTTTTTTTGTCACTCACATTTATATTGCTATATAGATTAAGGTAAATGAATATTTATGATGATTTTATATATTTATGTTATGTTTTGAAAGCCAATAACTACAAATGGTGTACGAGTACCTGTAAATTCAGCCGATCCAAATCCAAATGGAGTAGAATTTGATAACTTATATCTTGATATGAATGGTATTATACATCCTTGTACTCATCCAGAAGATAAGTAAGTATTGAATCATATAATAGAACATGAAAAAGTGAGACAAATATCTTTATATAACATTTTGTATTCTTACAGACCAGCGCCAAAAAATGAAGATGAAATGATGGAAGCTATTTTTGAGTGCATTGACCGTTTATTTCGTATCGTAAGGCCAAGGAAATTGCTTTACATGGCAATCGATGGAGTTGTATGTATTTATACCATAAATTCAGAATCATTCATTATTTATTGGATCATATTGTTAATGCTAATATATTTTTAGGCACCTAGAGCAAAAATGAATCAACAGAGATCAAGAAGATTTAGAGCATCAAAAGAAACAAATGAAAAGATTAATGAGATCCAAAGAATACGTTCCGAATTAACTCTTAAAGGAGCTTCTTTACCACCAGAAAAACCTAAAGAAGAACATTTTGATAGCAACTGCATTACACCAGTTCGTATAATCTTTTCAACAGCATGTTATTTGTAGAGCAAGATGTTTCTAATTAATTTGATTTTAGGGCACACCATTTATGGCGAGATTGTCAAAGTGTTTACATTACTATATACATGACCGTTTAAATAATGACCCAGGCTGGAGGAATATAAAAGTAATCTTAAGCGATGCAAACGTACCGGGTGAAGGAGAGCATAAAATAATGGACTTTATACGTAGACAAAGAGGTATATAGAAGATGTTTGCTAGGATAATAGCATAAGTAACATATGAAAATGCTAAAGATATTTCATACATGTTCAATTTTTTATTTGCCTAATAGCACAACCCGACCACGACCCCAACACGCAACACGTTTTATGTGGAGCAGATGCCGATTTGATTATGTTGGGTCTCGCAACGCATGAACCCAATTTTACCATTATTCGAGAAGAATTTAAACCAAATAAACCTAAACCATGTGATATATGTGGTCAGCTAGGTCACGAAATGCAAGAGTGTACAGGTTCAGAACCTAATCAAAAAGAAGAAGACAATGCTTTTGGATCTGAATGCCAATTCATATTTGTTCGATTAAATGTACTCAGGGAATATTTAGAGAGAGAGTTGCAAATGCCTAACCTACCATTTAAGTACGATTTTGAACGGGTCATCGACGATTGGGTATTCATGTGTTTCTTCGTAGGAAACGATTTCCTTCCACATCTCCCGTCACTAGAGATTAGAGAAGGAGCAATTGATAGACTCGTTAATCTCTACAAGAAAACAGTATATAAAACGGGAGTACGTAACATGTATGTGAAATAAAAGTATCAAAAGAAACTTTTAGTAATAATAACTCGTTTTTCTCAACAATTGCAGGGTTTCTTGACAGATAGTGGAGATGTGAATCTAGATAGAGTTCAACTTATAATGTCTGAACTTGGTGACGTTGAAGATGAAATTTTCAAGAAGAGGCAACAGAACGAATTGGCTTTTAAACAACGCGAAAAAGACAAGAAGCGAAGGTTACTGGGTATCGGTAATAATAAACCAAAATGGATTCCTACAGGACAGTTTGCACCTACGGTATTTTTCATTTATAAAAAATGTCTATTTATTAGATTGACGGTGATGTAAGTTATTTTAAGAATACATATTTTTATTATAGGCCTTAGGAGGACAAATTAAGCCGGTAGAAAATGCTCGTTACGAAGCTTACCAGATGCGTGTTCTGGGTAGAAATTATCATTCGTCAACTGAACAAAAAGGGAATACAAAAGAAATGTTAGAAAGCATGATTCGACCAGAGGTATAGTATTTACATTTTTAATATCATCTATTCATATTTCTATATAACACCATGTATGTTATAGGATTCATCTAATCAAGGAAAGAAGCGAAAAATTGACGAAGTTGAAGATAACTCAGACGACGATCAAGCACACGATGAAGTTAGGTTATGGGAAGCTGGTTTCAAAGACCGTTATTACGAATCAAAGTTTGACGTGTCTCCTGATAATCTAGCATTCAGGTAGGGTAATTTATGGTGTCAAAGTTAAGTACATTATGTGACATGTTCTTTTAATTTCTACATAGGAATAACGTAGCACTTCAATATGTTCGTGGTTTATGTTGGGTTTTACGATATTACTATCAAGGTTGCGCGTCATGGAAATGGTATTTTCCATATCACTATGCACCTTTCGCCAGCGATTTTATCAATATAGGTGGACTTTCTACGGAATTTGAAAAAGGAACTGTACCGGTGAGTACTAGGAAATAAATATGAATGAATTAATATACTGAAGTTTTACTGTTTACTTTCATTATTTCAGTTCCGTCCATTAGAACAATTGATGGGCGTGTTTCCAGCAGCTAGTAGCAAACACGTACCTGCACCATGGGCAAAATTAATGAGTGATCCAGTACGTACAATAATTTTATCACTCATTTATAGAGCATATGTATATTGTAAGTGGAAGTAATTAATATAAATATTTCCAGAGATCACCGATTATTGACTTTTATCCTGAAGATTTTAAGATAGACTTAAATGGTAAAAAATTTGCATGGCAAGGAGTAGCTCTGCTACCTTTTGTGGACGAGAAGAGATTGTTCAAGGCTTTAGAGCCATACTATGACTGCTTGACAGAGGCAGAAAGTATGTAGATATATGTACTAAACTAGTGTTATTAATATTTATGATATTAACGTTTATAATTAATTTGCAGAGAAACGAAATGTTAGAGGCGACGATCGTTTATACGTTGGACTCGGTAGTAGCGGTTATAATTTTATAAAAGGACTGTACACGAATCATGTAGGGTACGATGTAGAAACACCGATATGTATAGATGGTATGCGAGGCACGGTATTGTTGGCAGAAGACTGTGTTGGGGATGGAGCTACCCTACCATCGCCTATTAATGGACTACCGGTCAGAAATAATAAAGTATATTGGTAGGTATAATCACACCTATTTCCCCCATATGATTGTATGTCAAGGAGCTAAAATAAAATACCTTTCTCTGTTACAGTGTTCGATTCAGAGATCCTAAGTACGGCAGTAATTTCATATTCCCCGCGAAAAGGTTGAAGGGTGTAAGGGAACCCCCAAAAATTTTGAAACCCCAAGACTTCGATCAAATGAATCGCAATAGTGGAAATACCTGGAAACCACAAATTGGTTTCACACCGTCTACACAATCTGTTTCACTGAGTGATGCAGGACGAAGAATACTCGGGTAAGTTGTAATAACAGGATTAATACAATATGTTATCAATTTAAATGAAAATTTATTATAAATGACAACGTATTTTTTTTACAGACATTACACAAATCATAATAGAGTACCACCACCGTATGGACTCGTTTCGTTACCGCAGTCTACGTACCAATCGTACCAAGGTAAGTCACATTTTCTCGATATATTTTTAGAGTTGGGAGCTACAGATGGGTGCTACAGAGCACTTGAAGATCCCACGAGTATCGGTGTGTATGGTATGTGAAGCAACGACGTATTGAAGGTTCACTTTCTAATTTTTGAGTAATTGTTCATCAATGCCTGTTAGTGTATACCATTTGCATGTCTGTATACCGTGATCTCGTGGGTGCAGTTATCCATCGTAGGAAACTGTAACTCGTACATGAATGTTGAAAGCGTAAACGACTCATTTTTTAACCTGCCAATGTAAATCGTGATTATACTCGCAAATATATGAAAACACAGAAATATTCGGCCCAAACCCTCCTCGTTTTTCAAGAAATCAACAAAGTATCGAGGACTGCTAACAAAATTAGCCACTGTGACGCAGCGAATCGTTAGAGATGTCGCCAGAAAACAGTTCCCGAAGTACCGAATCGATTAACGCCGTTCCAATTAAGGAGCGGCTCATTGTTAACGAGCTTTGACTGCGAAAACTACACGAGATTTTTCCAGCGCAACCAGGCGACCGGGGAATTGATTCTATTTCTGCGAGTCCTGGCAGGGTTGGGAGGGCAGTGAAGAGAGGAAGGGGTATAGAGGGGTAGACACGGATGGAAACTCGGGGGTCAGAGGCTGGGAGCGAGAGCAGGGGGGTTGCAAAGCCGAGGGGTTTTGGTCCCGGATTAGCTTAGAGGGTAGTTCGTCACGTAGAGCGTGACTCCGGCCATTTCGTTGTTTGGCACGTCGAGGCACCAACGGTTCCACGGGTTTCGCCCAATTATAAAACAAACGCGGTGCACTCCGTAATTATCCAATTAGTGGATGTTCCACCTTCGTCACCCTTGCTTCGACCTTTCACGTATCCGTCTGTCCTCGTCCCTTGCGCGATTCGCGGCATGTCTGGCTGAATTACAAAAGCCGAAGCCCCTATTATTGCTTTGTAACGGGGATTCGTCGTCTATTGGGTTGTCCGTCAAATCGAACTTGCTGTCTTTTAAAATGTCCCGATGAATCACACTGCATACAAACGTGGATACGTAATTTTCCTAGAGACACACTAGGTATCCTCTGATGAGTACCAAGACAGGAAGATGCACAATAAACGTGGATCTTCCGGGGGTTCATTGGCTAGCGTGCGCCTGGCGTTTACTCCCCTCGATAAATCAATCACACACGAGCATCCGTGTAGCAACGTATTGTTTTTACGGTCACATGTGGAACCTTCTTCGCTTTCGTGTGCACTCGTACTTTGGTCACGCCTGTTAGGGCTGCTACAGTGTCAAGTCCCTGCGATCGTAATTCATCTTTCTGGACCTCCTCAAGTCACCAGTCGTCGACTTTACCCTGCAATCCACATTACTATGTATCCGTCCATATTACTGGGTAACGTCCATCTTCGTTACCTTGCATTTTACATTGTAGAGACATCCTAAAGAAAATAGATAAATGCCTACGTTGAATTCTTCATACATTCCCTGCAGATTCTCCCCGAGTTTTATCTCCTCAACCTTTGAGGCAATTTTCTCGTTTAATCCTAAAACAAGCGTTAATCGAAACTGGTAAAGCAATCGTATAGGAGCAAGGTAGTTCGTACGTCCGTTCGTCCATATCTTCGAACAGATGACAGGTGCAGAGGCCCCTCGTTAGATAAATTAAGCTTCGTTCCTAGCCTCCCGCCTCGTCCTGGCGGCTGATGCCGGTCTCTCCCTCAGCTTTGTCCGTCTCTCCCTCGGTTCCTGTCTCTCTCGTGCACGCGAGCTCGTTCGGGACTGGTTTCGAGTGGACTGCAAACACTCGTATAGCGGCAGCGACGGCGGCGGAGCTTCGAATCGCGCAGAAACCAGGCGCAAGACCAAGAACGGATCCGTTCTCGAGTCGCTACCAACCGGGCTACCGGTGATCGACGCTCGGTGTCGCAAATCGCGCGATATCCCCGTCAACGCGTTATGAAAATAAGAACGAAGGAAGGTTTCTTTTCAGAACGAATCCGGACTTTCGATATTTTCTGAACCTTACGCGGAGTTATTTAGTTAGGTGTTCTTTCGAGGAAGACGCAATGATAGAGCGTCTTCCTCGACAGTCTCGAGTTTAGACTCAAAAGCACGTACAATTTTTTAACAAATCTTGTCTTATTCATTTTTACCATAATTGTTGTACATTTATATGTATAGACTCTTTCAAATACGTCTTAGGAAAAATTCGGTGTACGGGCACAGTGGCCAAGTTCTCTTTCGTGGTCAAAAAAGGAGAAATTGATCAGAAGTAGTTAACGAGCCGTGACGATCGAAATTCATCGTAAGCAACGATCTTCCATCGAGTCCCATCGACGAAACGAATGAATACACGAAAACGGTTGCAATCCTTCCTGAAAGCTTCCACGGCTCCTTCAGTCTCGATTCGTTCGTGGAAATTACCTCTCGGCCGCGTCCCATCCATCGCCAGCGAGGTGTGCCGCTTCTATTTACCAGCGTCTCTTTTTCTCTCCACCCGAGCTGTCTCGCTCTTTTTGCGGAAACTGCCTGCCGCTTTCACCAGGTATTACCTGTAATGTCCGTTGCATCCATTACGCGTCATTATCCATCCATTAGTCGTTCTCCACGGGTCCGTGGACGCCTCGAAAGGACGCATACGCGTCCCGACACGCGGAATCGGACAGGTCTGCCCTCTTTTTTTTCCTCTTCTTGTCCCGTCTTTCCCTGCTTCTCGCGGAAAACGAGTATACGTTTTCGGCTCTTCAGATGTATCGACACGTATACACACTTCACATCATCGCGCAATTTCTTAACTGTCGTACTTTGGCGAGTCTCACTCGTGACGCACTCAAACATAAAAATCTTACTAAAATTATTAACACTCTTCAACTTAAAATTTAGGTCCAATTACAAGGATCGCTAAATACAAAATATTCACATTTTAATTTTTAATTTTTGTTTAAATATTATAAGTTTTGACTGACGCACCTGACAAATAAATTGTACGGCAAGGGGTTAATATTTCGTCTACGAAATTCGGGACTCGCAAAGTTTTGGGGATGCAATAACTTATTGTCGTTTTTCAGCAAAAGCTGATTATGACAGGATAAGAGTAAGATAATTATTTAGAATAGTTATCGAATCCGCCAAAGTCCCATCGGTAGAACATTCCAGCGGTAATATAAACGCGAGAAAAGCGGGGCCGTAGAAAAGTCGACGTACCAATGTAAAGCGAGGGAGACCATGATGTAATTATGGTGGGACGGGTAACGAGGACACGTGTTTTCCATGGAAAAACCTTCGATCTCGAAGACGAGTCGAACAAAGCCCGGCGGATGATATAGGGGGTGGGAGAGACAGAGGAGAGAACAGAGGCTTCTTCTCTAAATGCTCGTTCACCCTCGTCTATTCATTCCACGTATGTCTACCTGCGATACACCCTTCTCCCCATTAACTATAGGATCCATTCATCTTCGAGAGCATAGGTGAACTTGTCCTCGCGATCTCTTCAGACACTCGATGATGCCCGTGCCGGGTCTCTTTGGCCTGTACAACTTCAAAGCCTTCTTCCTCGTCTGAAAGACAACGAACAAGAAACGAAGTAGAAAAAAATATTACCGCTGGACTTTCAAACTACTTTTGTCGTTTAAACTTTTTTATAAATAAAATATTCTGAGAACTTTCTTCTGAAATGATCAATTTTCATGATTCGTGAGTTAGCACTGTTAGATTAATTTTTGTGGGGATCATGAATAACATAGATACACGGGAAGATCGTCGATCGAACTCGTACGATGCTACTTGTAGTATGGACGCCACAGACACGGTCTGTTTTCTATGGTGTGGGTCTGACGGGCGTCACCGGCAGCGCCGTGGCTAATTTCCTCGGCATTGAACCGCATTGTGCTCTAAATCGGCCTTCCCGCCTTCGGAAACCCACCGAGCTACGGTGTACAGTCTAGAGCAAATTAGTCTTTCCTAGGGAAAATTTAGAGGTGGGACAAGAATTTGAAGATGTAGAAATTCGAGCATAGACTTTTGGTGGAGTTGAAAATGTTTGTTGGTGCAAGTAAAATTTCCCTAATTCCAATTTTCCTCAATTCCCAATTCCCACGATTCCAAATTTCTCCAATTCCAATTTTCCCCAATTCCCAATTCCTCTAATTACCAATTCCCCCGATTCCAATTTTTCCTAATTCCAAATCTCCCCAATTCCAATTTTCCCCAATTTCCAATTCCCCCGATTCCAATTTTTCCTAATTCCAAATCTCCCCAATTCCAATTTTCCCCAATTCTCAATTCCCCCAATTCCCAATTCCCCCAATTTCCAATTCCCCCGATTCCAAATTTCTCCAATTCCAATTTTTCCCAATTCCCAATTCCCCCGATTCCAAATTTCCCCAATTCCGAATTCCCCCAATTCCCAATTCCCCCGATTCCAAATTTCCCCAATTCCCAATTCCCCCGATTCTAATTTTCCCCAATTCCCAATTCCCCCAATTCCAATTTTCCCCAATTCCAAATCTCCCCAATTCCAAATTTTCCTAATTCCAAATCTCCCCAATTCCAATTTTCCCCAATTCCAAATCTCCCCAATTCCAAATTTCTCCAATTCCAATTTTCCCCAATTCCCAATTCCCCCGATTCCAAATTTCCCCAATTCCGAATTTCCCCAATTCCCAATTCCCCCGATTCCAAATTTCCCCAATTCCAATTTTCTCCAATTCCAATTTTCCCCAATTCCAAATCTCCCCAATTTCTCATTTCCCCAATTCCCAATTCCCCAAATTCCAAGAGCTCTCCATAGAGCTCTCTTAGGTTTTGTACTCGATTCAGTATGATACACTCTGCTCCTTTACCGAAGAGAAAAATAGTATAAATCCGTTATGCAGGAAAATAGCGTAGCAAATTAATCTTTCCTAGGGAGAATTTGTAGATAGGACAAGAATTTGCAGAAATCGAGATTATCGTGCATTGCTCTCTTAGTTTTTGTACTCGATTCAGTTTGA